TTAAGTTTTAAAGTACACCTGCACTTTTATTTCTAATCTAAAATTCCCATCTAAAAAGGTCCCTTTAAATCTTATACTTAAAATATCCTAAAGTTTATAAACCATTCTTAAAACATATCAGAAACCCATACAGCTAAAAACTCAAGAATTCTAAACCAAGAATCTAAATAGGATAATACTTATAACAGTATTCTAAAAATATGTCTTATAAAGCTACTTTAATAAATTCCTAAATTTATTTTCATAAAACTGGTTTAGCTGCTTTCTCGAAGAGTATCTTTGTTTCTCAGTCAAGGTACACTAGTTCTTATATCTTTATAATCTTTCTCAATAAAAAGTAAATTCTAAACATCAGTCCACTTTCTGCCAATATTAAATATGCTCATCATAAATCCCTATATGAAGTAAAAGAGGGTTTATAGAAATGAAAAGGATGTATCCTTATATGTCTTAACTTTCCTAAATGTATAACATAACTTTCCTTAATCAAGAATGAAACTACATATGGTGGGTTTTGTACAATGAGCATAATGATTAGGTTTTCTAAAAGGCCGGAAATATGGGCTTGGGTTCTAGTTGATATAATCAATGTGGTGCCTAAAATTCTCATGACCTTTCAGAAAATGATTGTCTATTATCAGTTTTGTCCTCAGTGTGCTGATATGGAAGAGCAGCTTTCTACTTTGTTCTTGATATGCTGAGGGGTAGCAGAACAGCTTTTAAGGCTGTTATGTTCTAGCCATCTGAAATTAATTTGGTTTGGCATTTAACATACTCATGCCTCCTGGGAGGAACATGAGTATGTTAAATGAAAATGAAAAGTCCCAATTACATAAAATGAAAATGAAAAATGAAAATGAAAAGTCCCAATTACATAAAAAAGGGTCTCATGGTTTTGGTTTCCCACCAACCAGCACGGCTTTGCCAGCATTCATCCTCACTGTGGCCTTGTCAAGGCAGTGGGAGAGTAGCTTTGCCAGTGAGAGGGGGATCGCCTTCACCAATATCCCATATCCAGAAGTCTCAGAAACTTTCCAGTACTAGTCAAAGAATGAAAGAAATAGGCAACTAAAAGCTGGGCATTGTGGCATGCATCTGTAGTCCCAGCTACTTTAAGGCTGAGGCAGGAGGTTCTTTTGTACCTAGGAGTTTGAAGCCAGCCTGGACAACTTAGAAAGATTGTCGAGAGATAGAGGGGGGGGAAGGGAGGGGAGAGGGAGGGAGAGGGAGAGGGAGAGAGAAGGAATGAAAGAAAGGCAAAATATATTCTGTTATTAGTATGATGATAGCTTTGACTCTAAGACCCTAAGAGTCTCAGATTCACTCATGGGTTGCTAGAGCATGCTTTACTGTTGCTATACAGTAATGAAAATTAATAAGTCACTGCTGTATGTAACATTATGGATGAACCCTACAAACACAGTATTTGATAAAAAGAAGATGAGGGAAAAATTATAAACTGTATGATTCTTTTTACTGGAAATTCAGAAACAGACAAAAATCAGTGTTAGTATAAGAATACAGGAAATTATTTACCTTGAGTGAATAACAAGCCAACTTTGAGAGGCCCTAAGCAACTCAGTGAGACCCTGTCTCTTATAAAATACAAAAAGGGGCTAGGGATGTGCCTCAGTGATTAAGCACCCCTGGGTTCAATCCCTGGTACCAAAAAAAAAAAGTATTGAAAGTCTGTAACAAGGGGCTGGGGCTGGGGCTTAGTGGCTGAGTGCTGCATCGCACATGTGAGGCACTGGGTTCGATCCTCAACACCACATATAAATAAACAAAATAAAGATATAAGAAAAAAATACCAATGTTAAAACAAAAAAAAAAAGGAAGAAAAAGAAAAAGAAGTTATGTAACAAGGGCTGGGCTGTACCTCAGTGGTAGCCTAGCCATGTTAGGCAATGGTTCTGATCCTCTGCACAACGAAAAAACAAATAAATAAAATAAATCTATTGTATCCATTTACAACTAAAATTATTTAAAATAAATAAATAAATACATCTTTTAAAAAATTCTGTGACATTCTTAACTATCCTTTGAAAATGGGACATCCCAAAATTACTTGTGTCTAACAGATAGAATGCAGCTACTTTGTGACTTCAAAGGCTAAGTCATAAAGGTAGTCAACTTGTGCCTGGCATATGTTCACACTCTCCCTCCTGTGTCTCTCCACATGTTTTTGGAGGCTTGAGCTGCCATGTAAGAGGGTCTCAACAGACTTAGCTCTTCTAATCCCCAGCTTCTCATACTTTTCAAGCTAAGAACCAGACATGTGAGTGAGAAAGCTGTTGAAATGATTTGGCCTGACCACTATCTGACTACCACTGAAGAAACTCCAAGTAAGGAATAGCTGACTGAGCTCAAATCTGAAAGATAAGTTATTGGTACTGGTTTAATCCACTAAATTATAGTGGATTGTGTGTGTGTGTGTGTGTAAAATAAAATTGTATGTGTATAAAATATTTGTTATTAAATACTCGTGTGTGTGTGTGTGTGTGTGTGTGTGTGTGTATAAAATATCTACCAAATACTCCAGTAGTTGTAGGGGTGAGGAAAATTATGGGACGTGTTAAGGAGTTATTGCAAATTTAAGGGTTTTAAATTATTTCAGTTCTTAACAGTTTATTATCTTTGACTTGTTTTGCATTTCCCCCTCTCAATCCTACTTCTTTAAATATATACTCAGCAGGGGCTGGGGTTGTGGCTCAATGGTAGAGCACTTGCCTAGCACACATGAGGCACTAGATTTGATCCCTGTCACCACATTAAAAAAAAATAAAGTCAAGTCATTGTGTCCATCTGCACTATACTCACACACACACACACACACACACACATACTCAGCAGTGGCTATTGAATACTTATTAGTTATATCTTGATTTTCTATCCTTAAACAAGTGCATGAAGAGGGAACCTGCAAAAATGAAAGAAAAAATTTGCCACCTGCACCTCACATAGAGCATTAATCTCCAGGATCTATAAAGAACACAAAAACTTAATCCCCCCAAATAAAAATAAAACAAATATTCCAATCAAAAAAATTGGCAAAGCAGCTGAACAGGTACTTCAAGAAGAATTACAATGGTCAACAAATATATGAAAAAATTTTCATCTCTAGCAATTAGAGAAATGCAAATTAACTGAGATTCCATCTCACTCCAATCAGAATGGCAATTATCAAGAATGTAAGTAACAATGTTGTCAAGGATGTGGAGAAAAAGGTATGCTCATACATTGCTAGTGGGACTATAAATTACTGTGAACACTCTGGAAAGCAGTGTGAAGATTCTTCAGAAAACTTGGAATGGAACCACCGTTTAACCCAGTTATCCTACTCCTCAGTTTATAAGCAAGGACTTAAAATCAGCATACCACAGTAATGCGGCCACATCAATGGTTATAGCACCTCAATCCAAAATAGCTAAGCTATAGAACCAACTTGTGTGCCCTTCAACAGATGAATGGATAAAGAAAATGTGATATATACACAATGGAATATTATTCATTCATTAAAAAAGAATGCTATATGACTTTCATCAATATATGGATGGAACTAGAAATTATCATACTAAGTGAAATAAGTGAATCCCCAAATACCAAAGGTCAAATGATCTCTCTGAGATGCAGATGCTAACATACAACAATGGGGCAGGGCACAGGGAGAATAGTTCACTGGACTAGACAAAGGAGAAAAAAGGGAAGGGAGGAGAGATTGGAATAGGAAAGACAATAGAATGAATCAGACATAACTTTCCTATGTTCACATTTGAATACATCATGTACAACCACAAGAATAAGATCCTAATAGGAATAAGTTATACTCCATGTATGTATAAAATGTCAAAATACTTTCTACTGTCATGTATATTTAAAAAGAACAAATTTAAAAATTGAAGAGGGAGAATTAGCAATTAGGGCTTGGGTCATCTGGATCTGAGGATAAGTGCTCAGAAGTTACTATATAATAAATCTGGATTTCGTTAGGGAGAACCCAGTTACATGGCACACCAAGCTGCAAAAGAGTTTGAGAAATGCAGGTTTATAATGAGGAGATTTGTTCTCAACTATGTAAACATGAGTTCATTAATATTTTCAAAAAGGGAAGAACAGAAATTTGGGAACAACTTGCAGTTGCCACATAGCCTTTGGGTTCGTGGGGAATATTAAACATACTCTTGTGGATTCTCATTCAGTTAATCTCATACTATGATCAACATTCTTAGATTTTGATTTGGTTGGTCTAGAATGTTTCCTAAATATAACATAATTACATTCAGTGATTGATTCCAAAGCAGATCAAAATTTTAGGACTATTTCTGGGTACAGTGATGCATGCCATAATCCCAGTGACTCTGCAGGCAGGAGGATTGGGAGTTTAAAGCCAGCCTCAGCAACTTAGGCCCTAAGAATTTAGCAAGACTCTGTCTCAAAAAATAAAAAGGGCTGGGATTATAGCTCAGTGGTTGAGCACCCCTGATTCAATCCCTAGTACCAAAAAGCATTTTTTCAGCACTATTGAATTTATTACTCCCTTAATTAACTTAGTATTTCTATTGTATACAAAACTAGGAATTAAAATATATTTCTTTTCTTTCAGACTTGGCATCAAAAGCTGACCCCAAGAAGTTATCTCCAAAAAGAGACATTTATGAAATAGAATCATCCCCATGGGCTATTGTGGAAAATTTTATTCCTGAGGGATCTATTTTCAGAGATATTTGGGAATGCAAATGTCATTTTGAGCAAAAGGAGTGTTATTTCAGGCAATTTATGATGAATCATGAAAACGTGCCCATTTTTATTCAACATACTTTACCTACTCAAAATGGAAAGAAAATCTCTGAATGTGAAAAATATAGAAAAAACTTCTATTATCATTTATTCTTTTGTCAACACAAAAATCATTCTAAAGAACTTTCTGAATGTAAGGAATGCACAGAAATTATTAATACCCCGTTCTTATTAAACAACAGATAATTCAATGTGGTAACTAATGCAATGGATGTAAGGAATGCTGGAAGACCTTTATTCATTGTTCACAACTTAAAAAACATTTGAGAATTAATAATGGTGAAAAACGCTATGAATGTAGAGAATGTGGAAAGGCTTTTAATTATGGCTCAGAAGTAATGTTACATCAGAGAATTCACATTGGTGAGAAACCCTATGAATGTTAGGAATGTAGGAAGGCCTTTAGACTGAGATCACAACTGACTCAACATCAGAGACTTCATACTGGTGAGAAACCCTATGAATGTGAGCAATGTGAGAAAGCTTTTATTCGTGGCTTTCAACTTACTGAACATCTGCGATTTCATACTGGTGAGAATCCTTATGAATATAAAGAGTGTGGAAAGACTTTTAGGCATTGCTCACACCTTACCATACATCAGGGAATTCTTATGGGTGAGAAATCCTATGAATGCTGGGAATGTGGGAAAGCCTTTAGCTATTACTCAAGCTACTCTCACCATCAGAAGATTAATTCTGGTCAGAAGCCTTATGAATGTAGTGAATGTGGAAAGGCCTTTCATAATTGGCTTAAAACTTAACCTACATCAGAGAATTCATACTGGTGAGAAACCCTATGAGTGTAAGGAATGTGGGAAGACTTTTAGACAGTGTTCACACCTCAAAAGACATCAACAAATTCATACTCATGAGAAACCCTCTGAATGTATGATATGTGGTAAAACCTTTAGACTTCATTCACACCTTATTCAACATCAGAGAATTCACACTCGTGAAAAACTCTATGAATGTAAGGAAGGTGGGAAGACCTTTCTATCACTCCAGCTTCTTGCACCATCAGAGAATGCATTCTGGAAAGAAACCTTATGAATGTGTCAAGATCTTTAATCATGGCTTACAACTCAATCTACATCAGACACTTCATACTGGTGAGATACCAGTAAAGTTTCCTCTCCTCCCTCCACATCCAAGTTTCACTTCATAAAATTATTTTTGGAGAAAATACACCTTTTCCTCTCTAATTTCCATATAAGAGAAAATGTATGACCCTTGACCATCTGAAATTGGCATATTCCCTAAACTAATGTTCTTAAGTTCCATCCATTTTCCTGCAAATGATGTAATTAAAGTTTTCTTCATGGCTGAACGTAACTCCCTTATGATATATACCATATTTTCTTTATCCAGTAAGCCATTGAAGGATTCCTAAGCTGGATCCATAGTTTGGCTATTGTACATTATGGTGCTATAAATATGGGTATGCATGTATCCTATAGTATGATAACTTTAATTCTTTAGGATAAATACAAGAAGTTCTATTCCTAGTATTTTGAGGAGCTTCCACATTGATTTCCATAGTGGTTATATTATCATCCCACAAGAGCTTCCTTTTTCTCCATATATCCTCTCCAGCATTTTTTTTTTGGTACTGGGGACCAAATCCAGAGGTGTTTTACCAGTGAGCCACATGCCCAAGCTTTTTTATTTTTCATTTGGAGGCATGGTCTTGCTAAGTTGATTAGGACAGCCTGGAACTTGTGATCCTCCTGCCTCAACTTCCTGAATTGCTGGGATTACAATTGTGTGTCACTGCACCTGGCCATTGTTTGTATTCTTGTTGGCTGCCATTCTGACTGGAGTGAGGTGAAATCACAGCGTAGTTTTGATTTTCATTTCCCTGATTGCTAACAGTGTTGAATCATTTTTCATATATTTGTTGGCCATTCTTATTCTCCTTTTGAGAAGTTCTGTTCATTTATTAATTGGATTATTTGTTCGTGTTAAGTATTTTTGTGTTCTTTATATATTCTGGATATCCTCTGTCAGAAAAGTAACTAGCAAAGATTTTCTCCCATTTTGTAGGCTCTCTCTTCACATTCTTTTTTTTTAAAAAAATTTTTTTAGGGCTGGGGATGTGGCTCAAGCAGTAGCGTGCTCGCCTGGCATGCATGTGGCCCGGGTTCAACACTCAGCACCACATACAAACAAGGATGTTGTATCCGCCAAAAACTGAAAACTAAATATTAAAAATTTCTCTCTCTCTCTCTCTCTCTCTCTCTCTCTCTCTCTCTCTCTCCCTCTCAAAAAATTATTTGTTAGTAGACCTTTTTAATATTTATTTGGATGCTGTGAATCAAACCCAGTGCTTTATGCATACAAAGCAAGCAATCTACCATTGAGCTACATCCCCAGCCCATCTTCACACTCTTATTTCCTTAGCTGGACAGAACCTCTTTAAATTGATGCCATTTCATTTATTAATTGGTATTTCCTGAGCTTCAGGGTCTTTATTGAGAAAGTCGTTGTCTGTGCCTGTGTTGGAATGTTTCTCCTATATTTTCTTCCAGGAGTTGCACAGTTTGTGGTCTAATTCGTAGATCTTTGATTCATTTTGAGTTGATTTGTGCAAAATGCAATTTATTCTTCTACATATGGATAACCAGTTTTCTAAGCACTATTTGTATAAAAGGCTGTCTTTTCTCCAGTGTGTTATTGACACTTTTGCCAAGAATCAGATGATTGTATCCATGTGGGTTTGTCTCTGTATCTTCTATTTTGTACCACTGGTATATATGCCTTTTTCAAATTTATATATATATATATACATATATATATATATACATATATGTATATATATGTATATATATATATTACACTAGAATGCATTTTGACACATCATACATAAATGGAGTATGACTTCTTATTCTTCTGGTATTATATGATATAGAGTTGCACCAGTCATGTAATCATATATGCACATGGTGTAATAATGTCCAATTCATTCTACTATCATTCTTACCCCCAGACCCCCTCCCCTCCCTTCACTCCCCCCTGTCTAATCCAAAGTACCTTTATTCTCCCCTAGCCCCCCTTATTGTGAATTAGCATCTATGTGTCTGTTTTTATGCCAGTATTATGCACTTTTTGTTACTATAGCTTTGTAGTATAATTGGAATTCAGGTATTGTGATGCTCCCAGCATTGCTTATTTGGCTTAGAGTTACTTTGGCTATTCTGGGTCTTTCACTTTTCCAAATGAATTTTAGGACTGTTTTTTCTTAGTTCTAATGAAGAATGTCATTTGGTATTTTGATGGGGTTTGCTTTTGATCTGTATATTGCTTTTGGTGGTATGGCCATTTTAATGACATTAATCCTGCCTCCATGAAAATGGGAGGTCTTTCCATCTTGTGTCTTCAATGTTCTTACTTTTTCTTCAATGTTCTGTTTTTTTCTTCAGTGTTCTGTAGTTTTCATTATAGAGGTCTTTAAATTCCTTGGTTATATTCATTCCTGGATTTTTTTGAAGCTTCTGTGAATGGGGTTGTTATTCTGTTATCTTTCTCAGAAGATTTATTATTGGTATTTGGAAAGTTATTGATTTTGTATGCTTATGTTATAGCCTTCTAGTTTGTTAAATTTGTTTATTAGCTGTAGCAATCTTTTATAAAAAATATTTTTTCTAGTTGTAAAGGGATGCACAATCTTTATTATTTTTTTTATGTGTGCTGAGGATTGAACCAGTGTCTCACACATGCTAGGCAAGTGCTCTGCCACTACAGCCCCAGCCCCTCTAGCATTGTTTTTGGCTGGACCTATGTAGTATAGGATCATATCTTGTATCACATCACTTCAAAGTGATAATTTGACTTCTTCCTTTCCCATTTTTATCCCATTTATTATTATATTATTAGGCAACCTTCTCTTGCCTAATTTCTCAGGCTGGAATTCTTAATACTGTGTTAAATAGGACTGGCAATAGACATCATTGACTTGTTCTAGATTTTAAAGGAAATGCTTTCAATATTTCACATTCAATATGATGTTTGTTCTGGGTTTTTCATATATACCCCTTATGATGTTGAGGTGGGTTCCTTCTATCCCTAGTTTCTTCACTGTTTTTATCATGAATGGGTTTTAAAGTTTGTTGAAGGAATTCTCTACAACCATTAAGATGATTAAGTCATTTTTACCTTAATTCTGTTTAAACTATGAATTGCATTTATTGATTTTCAGATGTTAAACCATCCTTGCATCCCATCCTATAACCAACTTGGACATGATGTGAAATTTTCTTAAAACGTTGTTTAATACATTTTACTAACATTTTTTGAAGGATTTTTGCATTTAAGTTAATCAGTATTACTAGCCTGTATTTTCTTTCCTTCATGTGTCTTTATCTGGTTTTGGAATGAGTGTGATATTGGCTTCATAGTAATCAATTTGGACATTTTCATCTTCTATTTCATGGAATAATTTGAGGAGCATTGATATTAGTTATTATTTAATGATCTGGTAGAATTCAGCTGAGAATCCATTCGGTCCTGTACTTTTCTTTCTTGGAATTTTTTTATTACTGCTTATCTGCTTTATATCTAATTGCTAGTTGTTTGTATGTTCTCTTGATTAAATTTATATGTATGTATAAATATATCCATTTCTTCTAGGTTTTCCAATTTATTGAAGTATAAGAGTATAAGTTTTCAAAATATTCCCTAATGATCCTCTGGATTTCAATGATATCTGTTGTGATTTCTCCTTTTTCATCTCTGATTTTATTAATTTGGGTCTTCTCTCTTTTTCTTTGGTTATTTTGGCTTAGGGTTTGTCAATTTTATTTGCTTTATCTTCATAAAGAACCAACCCCCTTTTTTTTATTAATTCTTTGTGGGTTTTTTTGTTGTTGTTTTTTGTCAGTTTTGGTGATTTCAACTATGGTCTTAATTATTTCCTTCTATTGGCTTTGGATTGGTTTGTCTTTTTTTAATATTTATTTTTTAGGTGTAGATGGATACAACACAATGCTTTTATTTTTATGTGGTGCTGGGTCCCACCTCTTACTTGCCTTTGTGGTGTCCCAGAGGCTCTGGTATGCTGTATCACTATTCTCATTTGATTCTAAGACGTTTTAATTTCTCTCCTGTTTTATTCTGTTGCCCATCATCATTCAAAATGGTATTGTTTGTGGCTGGGATTGTGGCTCAGAAGTACTCGCCTAGCATGCATGAGGCATTGGATTTGATCCTCAGCACCACATAAAAATAAATAAAAAATAAATGCATTATGACCACCTACAAAAAGGGGGGAGTATTGTTTAATATCCATGCATTCAGTTTCTGTAGGTTAGTTTGTGTTATTTTCCAATTTCATTCCATTATGAGCTGATAATATGAAATCAACCTTTTGTATTTGCTAAGTGAAAGAACGAACAAGACTCGTCATCAGAGAAAATGCCCGTTTATTGAGGAACAGCTCTGCATATTTATAGAGCCGGGGGTGGTTTGACAGTTATGACAGTTTAATGGTTGAACGGTTTGACAGTTGGCAAGGATTAGTGGGTAAGGATCATGTGAGTCAGCAGGGCTAGTCTGATTGGTGGGTAAGGATCATGTGAGCCAGCAGGGCTCACCATTGGACAGCTCTTCTCAGAGGATGGGGAAGTTAGTCTTTGGGGGAGGGGACTCACAACACTAAGAGTTGCTTTATGGCCTAAAACATGGTCTGTTTTGGAGAAGTTTCCATGAATCACTGAGAAGCAAGCTTATTCAGTTGTTGTTGGAGGAAATATTCTAAAAATGTCTGGTAAGCCCATTTGATTTGCAATATTTTTCAGGTCAAAAGAATCTTTACTGAATATGTTTTGATGACATATGTATTGGTGGGAGAGGTGTGTTGAAATCACTCAGTATTAATGTAGCAGGGCATATCTGAGGTTTTAGTTGAAGTAATTTCTCTTTTATCTAATTAGATGCATCAACATTTAGGGCATAAATATTTGCTGTCATTCTGTCTTCTTGTTGGATTGTTCCTTTTAGCAGTAGAAGTGACTTTCCTTGTCTCTTCTGATTTTAATTGAAGTCTGCTTTGTTGGATATGAGAGTAGTTACACCTGCTTCTTTTGGGAGTCCTTTTGTAAGGGTCCGGCGAAACGTCAGAGTAAGAGACCACAAGAGACTGTTTTATGTAACAGCAGAAGGGTGGGTTTATTTGGAGACCAGCATGCTGGGGCCCGAGCTCTCTATAGCAAAGAAAGATAGAGCCCTGAGAACAGCTTGAGCAGAGCTTATATACTTTCCCTGGAGAGGGCAGGGAGAGAAGTTATATTTTGTAGTTTGGCAGTTGGGGAGAGCTCATTCTGGGAACAAGATTAGCA